GGAGCTCTTCTTAAACAGCTCTTCCGAGGAAGGACAGTAAGCTACCTGTTGATTAGCTCTAAAAAGCCTGTCTGCCTGTTGTCTCGCATAGCACAGACCATAGCCAACATGTGGTCTGTTAGCTAATGCTGAGGTGTCTGTGTAAGCCAGAAGCAAGGGGGAAATAATCCCTGTTTAGCAGGGAGAAGCCAGGCAGACATTGTGCCTGCAAATCCTTGCCTAGCTGGAGCCACAGCAAAGGGGAGGGGCCAGCCAGCCCTGCTATGGAGCAGAGAGCCCTGCCCAGCTCAGAGAGCGTGCTGGGATGCTGAGGGTGCCTGGTTTATCTTAAACCAGCAAGGGGTCTGAGACGGACATTGCATAAACCAGTTTGAGCCAAATCAGTGAAACCTGGTTGAATGTAGTATCAGACTAATCTCAAACCAGTTTCAGCCATTTTGAAACTGGTTTATGTGCACTGAACATCTGTTCTGTTACAAGTTTAAATTGGTTTCTGATCACTTAAACCAGTTTGTGTGTAATGTTTGTCCCTAGCCTAAGTGTTACAAACCCACTCCGTTGCTTAGAGGCATAAATGGAAACCTAGTTAGCTTTGTAAAAAGTATTCAGTCTGTTTCAGTTCTCCACTGCTATCTTTTGTGAGTTGTTACTATATTGTATAAATATTTTGATAAAATTTATGAAATGTCAACTCGTAACTGTAGTATGTGTGGAAAAGTTAATGCATGTCATAGTACATGGCTACTTTCCTCTCAAAAAAAGTAATGGTGTGCTAATTTTATAAAAATCAGCCCTTTATTTATGTAAGTGCCTCACCATCCCATGTAAGCATCTCAAACCAGCTATTTTCTTCCATCAACTTACGACTTTAAATTAAAAATATATATTTTAAAAATTGCTCCCAAGGTGCATCAGAGGCTGAGTGTTTACAGCTGAAGTAGAAATCCATTTAGAAAGCATTTCTAACCTCTGTTCTAAAAAAGGCAGATTCTTAGTGTAAATTGATATAGCTCAAGTCAAGTCTTCAGCTTCTGAAGAGTATCTTGCAAAGTGTTGGCATGGGAGCAATTTGAAAAAAGATAGATCTTGCTGACTTAATTCCTTCCCCAAAGCAGAGTTGGCCATTTATTGGAGCTATGCCAGTTTGACCCAGCTGAGAATTTGACCCTCAGGCTTACCTAAGTAACTTCATAATGAATATTATAGTTTTAACACCAGCATTTTGCCAGCATGCAACATGTATATCATAATAATCTAATTAGTTTGGGTACCACAGAGTGTTGTGTTTATTTCATGGTCAGCAGTTCAGTAACTCGGACCTCACTGGAAAATCTGTTTTATGTTGCTACTGTTTGTGTTCAGTGCAGGAGTGTTTGATATCTTCTCTCAAAATTGATCCAGTTCCTATAATCAAGTGGCTAATATTCAAGATGCTAACATAGTATTCTAAAGAATATCTCAGAGTTGGCATTTAGGTACACTTGGGAGAGATGGAGTCTGAAGCATTGCACTGTACAGTGGAAGTGGCAGTTAAATCTTCCTTTTGCATTGTTTCAATATGTTGTCCCTGACATAACTGTACTGCTGTAAAAGGCAGCTGGTTGACTAGGCTAAGAGAAAAAGATTGAATTATTTGCTTTTATGTGGCTATCAGCTCTGTTATCACAGCATCAATATCACATGGTAAGACCTTTTCAGAATTCATTCTTCCATTCTACAATGAAAAGTACACTCACACACCACTTAATGCTTCAGATGAATCAATTATTAGGACAGGAGAGAGAGAGAGAGCGCACAGCATGTCTACACATACCCTTCATGGCAAGTGTAGGTTTTGATATGATCAAGTTGAATATCTTCTCAACACTAGCATTTTTTAAGCATTACGTCTTAAGAGAACTTTTGAATGTAATGGGCTCATTGAGATTAGTTCATTTGGAATTGTTTACAGACCTAGCGTGTTCATTTTCTCTAAACATGTTTTCAAAAGAATATTCACAAAATGGGAAAAGGTTTTTTTGCTATAATCTTGAGTTTAAATTAAGATGTTACTGTCCAGTGGTCTAGGACCCTCCACAATTTTTTATAAATATACTAAGTAGATAACTTGGGATTTAAATAAAAATTCAAGCTTTTGTTTTACTAGTCACAAATAGCAAGTAATAGATGGGTGGAGAGGGAGTGCCATGCTATTTAGTGATCTACTTAACACAACATGCAGTTTAGGTGATATACTATTAGCTTTGCCTTAAACTTAATTTAATCCTGTTATGCGTTGTTGTCCTTCACGGACGAAGACGACAACATCCGGGGGGTCGAGGGGAGAAAGAAAATAAGTAGGAAAGAAAAAGGGAGGGAGGAAAAAGAAAGGATAAAACAGAAAAAGGAAAGAGAAAGGAGGGGGTGGAGGCTATATCACGTGCATATGTAGGTGACTTATAAGCCTGATCTTTGCCTTGAACAGTCTGCTGCAGCAGGGGCAGGAGAGCGATGAGGACTGGATATAGGAGGTTTTTGTTTTCCTGGCCACACATTCCTTCATTGGTTCTGCTATGCGTTGCTGTTTGAAGGCCAGTGCTCCATTCTGGATTGATGACCTCCAGGATGGATGGTCACGAGCCATTTGCTCCCACGACTCTAGGTCAATGTGAGCAAATTGATATTTAGTGATACCTTTAGAGTGTCCTTGTACTGCTTCTGTGATGCACTGTGAAAACGTACTCCATTTGACAGTTTGCCGTTCGTGTTGGGCAGTCTCGAAAGGTGACTGGCTCATCTTAGCTGTGGCGTTTCAGTAGAGTGTGAATACTGGGGAGAGCTGATCTTCTGAGCATCTTGGTGTCTGGGATCTTTTTCTGCCACTTTAGTATCTTTTGCAGGCAGTACAAGTGGAAGTGGTTTAGTTTCTTGGTATGACGCTGGTAGGCAATCCAGGTTTTGCAGGCATATAGAAGGGTTGGGAGAATGATGGTTTTGTAAACCTTCAGTTTTGTTGACGTTCTAATGCCTCTATGATCCCAGACGAACTTACTGAGTCTGCCGAAGGTCATGCTGGCTTTTGCTAGTCTCGCATTGATTTAGTTGTCAATGTAGACAGCATGGGAAAGTGTGCTGTCTAGATGGACAAACTTGTCAACCATCAGCAGTTGTTGGCCTATAACTGAGATGCGTGGTTCCTGGGATGTTGTGCCAGGTGAAGGTTGAAACATCACTTAGGTCTTCTTGGTATTGACAGAGAGTCTGAAGTTGTCACTGGCTGACAAGAATAGGTCCATGGACTGTTGTATGTCAGCCTGTGAGCCTGCGCATAACATATAGTCGTCAGTGTGCCTGTTTTTAATCCTGTTATATGGTATAGCAAATGGAGCGTAGATGCTAATTTTGTTATGAAAAAAGAGCAAAAAATATGTAACAACTTATCAGTAAGATTTGCAGGAACATTCCAATTTCTGCAAGTGAAGTTTGCAATGTTAAGGCTGAAATACAGAATTATAGCTTATGATAGTATGGGCGTGTCTACACATGCTTTTTGTGTGCGCCTAAACTTGATGTGCATTTGCCTAATGCAGGGGCGGGCAATTATTTCGGGGAGAGGGCCACTTACTGAGTTTTGGCAAGCTGTCGAGGGCCGCATGATGGGCAGCCAGGGGCAGATCAGTATTAATTTTCTAAATTTTTTAGGGGTCCCATGGGCTGGATAGATTGGCCTGGCGGGCCGCATTTTGCCCACCCCTGGCCTAATGCATGTTACGGCAATTTAGGCGAGAGTCTACATGTGCACGAGCTAATATGCCTTAACGTGAGCGTGTGGACCAACTTGGGACTCAAGTTAGTCCCAAGTCAGTGGACACACAGTGCCAATGCAAGTTAGCTATTTGCACCTAAATTTGATACCTGCTTTATGCAGGTATCAATTTTAGGCATGAATAGCCTAAAATCACCATTTTTAAGGCTCATTAAGCATGTACACACTAGATGTGTGCCCTTAATGTGCCTTAAATTGGGCTAAAGCACCTTAAATTGGCATGTGTAGATGTACCCTATATATCACTGAAGAGTGGGTGTTTTGAAACACAATGCATGTGAAGAATGAATAATGAAGGCAGAGCCCTTTAATCTCACTTATACAAAGTGATAGAGTCAAAAAAAACAAAACACTGAGGATTTACCTACTGTAGATTCTTTAACCTCAAGTTAATAGGCTTCTAGTTAAACTGAGGTGGTTACTGTGCTAAAGGCTAGTCTGGAGATCTGTAAACTGTTTAAGGGCACTTCATGGCAATCACTTTAACTTGATTATAGATCAAACCTAAATAGATTGAGTACAGGCAAAGTAAAAAGCAATACTGTATGTCTGCTGTAGGTATTCTGCAGTTTAAATGAATGGTACTAATTTATTTATACAAAATGGATAAATTTGCATGAGGTAGTTTTCTAGCTGGCTTGCTTATGGTTTCATCAATATATATAAAACTAGAAGTAATTCCATACCTCTTTATTTCCTTGCTATTAGTGTTACAAGCCATCAGGTATTTGAATAAAAAGCAGGAGCTTGATATGGGTATCATGAACATGAGTGTGCTTTTCTAAGGGTCTCAGTTTTTCAAAATTAAAAAAAAGGTTGTTAGAAGAGGGATCTGTTCCTTTAAAGGAACTTCCATGTAGTCTTCTTTTTTTAACATAGCCATACCCCAAACGCTTTGAAATATAGTGGCTGAGTTCTTTGTAATGAAATTTTAGTTTTCTTATTTAATTTAATAGAATTAAATATTCTAGCTAAAGAAATAATATTTATAAATGGTATAGTTGTTTTTGGAAAACAGTACTGAATAATGAAGAGAATGTTTGTGCAGGCCTTTTGGATATTTTTTTAAAATATGTTTTTATATGAGTCAACACACTCTCCTAAGTATTTTGTCCTGTTAAATGGTATTGGTGAAAGTCTTATAATCAGTAGACTGGGAAAAGCCAAAACCAACTTTGTTTTCCTCCCCTAATAGGGCTTTATTTGTCCTCTGTGTATGAAATCTCATGGATCTGCTGAAGAACTCTTCAAGCATTATGAAGCAGTTCATGATTCTGGCATCGATTCAAGCCACGGAGGAGAAGGTCATCCATTACCCAAAAGGTGGAGCGGCATTCATTTGCATATACACTTGTGTGTCAGTGGTAAATAGTCTCTAATTATGCTGAATCCTGTATTAATTTGAACAGTTAATTATCCAGTGAACTGTTTACATTTTGATGCCCCTTTTCTAAATGCAAGTAAAAGACTAATTAATACTATGTTGTCTCATACTGTCCTAGCAATTGATGAAAATCAACTGTATGTAATAGTGTTGTTTATTGCATCATTTTCTAACTGCATCAGCATTATCTGATAGTAGCAGTATGGCTGGTTAGAAAACAATTCCATTATTTTTGAGGTTGCAGAATATTACTTTCTGTTGAAGGTTAACAGGGAGGGCTTTGCCAGTTTAGGTACAACTTGTTTGGGTAAGTACCCTAATCACAGGCTGTTGGGTAGTCCTAGGGTATTTCTTTCCCATCTGTCCTCCCGAAATTATGTACTGGTTCTGAGATACCTTCTTAATAATTGTTTCTTTTTGGTTAAAAAGATGCATTTTGGTTTTGATAAAAGTTTGATGTGGTAGGTAGCTTTTTACCAGCTCTGTGCAACAGTTGTTGGGGCAGCTCTTTTTGTGTGGCTTGAACGTTCCCAGAAACTGTATTTGCATGCTTATGTTTGGTCTTTGATGGGGAGAGATGGGGGATTCCAGTTGTTCCATTTTGTTTCCTTGTCAATGCATATATCGAGCTGTTGTAAATTGCACCCTGTATTGCTTCTACTTTGTGGTTTGCATGATTCTCTTGGCTGCACATTGGAGGCAATACAAGCAGCTGAATGTAGCTATGTACAGCCTGGAAGACCGTGATGCCAGTATAGCAAAGGTACAGACTGCACAGCCTTTCTCTGTTAAATTAATGTCTGGGAAGTAACAAACAGCAACAGAAGGAATTAGGTCTTTGGGTAGAAGTGCATTTTCAGGTGTGGGTTTATACTTCTTGAAGGGGATCTGTAAAACTGGCAGTGTGCAATTCCATGTTTTTCATCTGCTTATCAATATTCCCAATCTACAAGTAAAAGGAGGGGGAGATGCTTTTCATTTTACTTTCTAGTGACAGTCTTGTTAATTCAAC